ACTCATGCATTCCATATTTGGCTGTGAAGGGTGTTTTTACGTCATTGCGCAATGGGTCCATTGGGAGCCAGCCTCCTAGCCTGGGACGTTCTTATTTTCATGTACAGGAAAACCTGGTTTAAGCGACCACCCCACGTTGCAAGGAAAAGCGGTCGTTTTAAAGGCAGGTGGTCTTTAGAACCAGGTCCCACAATGTCTGTGTAGAACTGTCCGTGCATGGAAAAACGGTCGTTAAGAGCAGATGGTCGGTAAAACGAGAGGTCGCTTACACCAGGTTTTGCTGTACTTCGAATAGTTGAGTTGAGTCACCGTGTGTGCATTGGTATGCTGTGCTCGGTGAATTCCTAGCCTGTTTGTTATTCAGCACCCGACCGTACTGCACTCACCCACTGCTACGACAACACCGATGATGATAGCTCCTGTGGCTTTGCTTGGTGTAGCTGATGCCGCCTCAGTGGCGACGGTTATAGATGCAGTAGACATTGGCAGTGTCGTACGCCGCACAGGGTCTGTATCACTGCCACGGAATCCGTCTGTTCGTACGGGGGGCACAGCTGCAGTGCTGGAAGGCTGCCTGTCAGTCTGGTCTTGGGAAGTGGCAACAACCGGTTGAGGTGTACTGACTGAGGCAGCGCTAGGTGATGCCTGCGTGGCAGACGTAGATACATCAGTTGTAGGCATGTTGCAGGACTGTAAGTCTGTGAGCAAGAAATTAGATTAAATCCAGCGTGTGGTTTAACAACAACTCGCGAACAATGACACTATGTTCAGACCCAGAAATAATTTGACCCCAAAACAGGTACTTTAACCCTTTCACTGCCGCTGTCGACTGCAGTCGACAGCGCATTCATGCACTCCGAGTGCCATTGTCGACTTGCGTCGACGAGTAAACATGCAGTCCCCAGTGCTGTTGTCGACTTCCGTCGACAGGCAGACCTCACCCAGTTCGTGCCTCTATTTTCGAATATTGGAGATGTTTTGCCGTGGTAGACGGCCACTGGGCCCTGGAAGATGTCCATACCCATCGAAATACGCTTCCAGAAGTATGGGTTGCCATTTGAAAAAAATCGAACCAGCGTCGTTGAAAATGCGCATTTGATTTTTAGCCGATCGGCGAGGAAGAAACCGGTTCTCACGCACTTCCACCTCGCTGAGTCGGTGCGAGTATTTTCCTCTTTCCCGTCAACTTTCATTGCACGGAGCATGGAATTTGGTTCAGACTTGATGCCTAGCTATTACCCAAGACTCCAGGCGGCTATCCGTTGCGATAGGCGGTTGGAGTCACGGGTAGAGACAACCAGACGATAGATTCCTCGCGGACGCATTCACTGCAAACTTGACGGAAACAGCGCTGGCGGCGGTCACCGGGTCCAGAACTAAAATTTTCTAAGAACTACCACGTTACAATGGCGACCAGCACGGTCAAGAGACACTACAGGTATGTCAGCTACAACATAATTATATTCTTTCTACAACGACACCTACCTCTGGCTCAAAACCTGACGATCTACTGCAAGCTGATGCGAAAGTGAATTGCACTCGCGAACGCTTGTCAACGGAACAGGGAAGCGCTTCACTCTCCGAAGTTGAAAAGTATTTGGACTGCTGCTAATGGGGAGAGCAAACGACCACCATGGCGGCAGAACATTCCGCAGCCGTTCACCGACACGATCCGCTTCACCAAACGACTTACGAACGTTTCGTTCTCCGAGTTTTCTGGTGGCAGCAACAAGAATTTCGTCCGCAACGACAGGACGAAAGTCTCTCGCAACTGAAGTCCTGTTGCCACGAAGATAGAGAAGATTCCGCAAGCCATCTCTTCTGCTTCCAGTGTTGTAGCTCTCCTGTCCACTGGCATATCTTTCAATCCCAGCGAACGAAAAAAAGGATCTGCTTCTCTCTCCAAAACAACAACTAACTAACTTTACTTCGCGAGTGTCCGGGCCGATCGTGTACATAGTGTATGTAGCGCATGCGGCGCACGCGCACTTTCGCATGACATGACACGCATTTTTGTACAGCGGCTGGCGCTAGATCGCGCAGCACGTTTGTACTTCGGATTTTGCGATTTTTTTCGACGGCAATGGCTTCCTTTATGAGTTGTCTACCTACGATGTATACTTTGGAAAGCGATATTCCGTACAGAAAGTACCAAAAAATCCAGGAAAAGTAGGCCTTTCGATTTTTCGAGCTGGAGGTAAAAAGTGCCTGGCAGGGAGGGGGTGTACAGCTCAGCTGACAGCCTGGCAGGGAGCGCCTTGTCACCTTGAGTGGTCAGCTGGCAGTGAAAGGGTTAAGTATTCCTAGCAAAGCATGGGAATACCTCCAACAGCTATGAGCTTACAATATGAATGAGAAAAGAGATGAGGAGCTAGACACACAAGCAGAGACACACAGAGATTGAGGAAGAGAGAGGGGGGGGGGGAGAGGGAGAGAGAGAGAGGGCGAGGGAGAGAGAGAGAGAGGGGGGGGAGGCTGGAAGAGGAAGGCAGAGAGCGAGTGGGGTCTGATATGTAAAGACTTGTCCACGTGGGTTTACACACACACACACACACACACACACACACACACTCACACACATACACACACATATATATATATGCACGCACGCGCGCACACACACACACACACATGCGCGCACACAAACACACACACACACTCACTCACACGCACATACACACACACATACACACACACACATATATATATATGCACGCACGCGCGCACACACACACACACACACACACACACACACACACACACATGCTCATTGCAGAAGCGATGATAGCGAACAGCTATGTTAGACATAGCAACTTGTGCTGGGATTACACCCTCCAACAGCACATACACACACACACACACACACACACACACACACACACACACACACACACACACACACACACGCCACATGTATGCAGGCTCGTACACGCATATGTACCCATGTGTGTACGAGCCTGGGATGCACTCAAAGTGGCTCCCAGCTATGTGGACTCTGCATGCATGGTCTCTGGCTCTCTGCGGCCCAAGGTGGTTTTGCATTGTTTGGTGACACTGACACTGAGATTGACACTGACACTGCCACTGGCTGAATGACCTGGCTGTCGAGCATGCTGTGAAACAGATGCCCTACGCCCCAGTGCAGTTTATCCCTCTCTGTACAGAAGCTCAAAGTTCACTTCAAGAGTTTCGATGCTGTCAGTGCCAAAGTTGAGAAAATGAGATTCTGAGCTCAGTGAAATCAAAAGGTTTAGGGGCAACTTCAGACAACACGTTCCATCAAAAAAACTGACTAGAACCACTGCAACCCGGTTGGCCAAATATGGATTTCAATACAAACCACGCATAAAAACGAATGCCTTTGGGTCATTATCCGAGAAGTGATGAAATGGATAGAACGCGTGTTGCAACTTAACTCCCTGTAACCTAAGCACATTACGGTACACTAATCCCCGCAGTCACAGTAACGTACCTCCACCGGAACAAGCACACGTGACCGTTATATCGTCAATTGCCACTATGCCTTGGGTGACCTGGCTGAAAACCAGTGGGTCCATCACAGGATTTGGATTGCACGTGAAATTGAACACAAACTGCAGGGAACAGAAACACCAGGAGACATTATTATTCCCGTAGCTACCGTATTTCCGCGCATAAAAAGCCATGGCGTTATATCTGAATATAAGGCCACCGTCACTTATAACGCCATGGCGTTATAAGTGAACAAAATTCAATGTGGAGGAAGTTGCATCTGGCGTTAAAGGTGAGTTCAATTCTTTCAGTGAACGTACAGTACCGGGTGATTCTCTCTGCATGTACCCATCCCCACTGCCACATGCCATACCGCCACCGCACCTTCACACAAGTTTCCATGCCACCTTGTACACAATAGGTTCACATTTCGAAATTTTCAGGGAAATTGAAAGTACATGGATGATCGACATGAACGTGCAACGGCACCCTACGAGTACTCGAAGTTCATACTCTGCCGATTTTTTGCATGTACGCGTCTCTCACTTTTAGCGCCATGGCGTTAAAACCGAGGCTATTTTCTCCAAAAAGTTGGTCCAAAACAGCGATGTTTCACCTATAACGCCATGATGTATATGCGCGGAAATACGGTATGCAAAAGACGTTACTTCAGTAACGTCTAGCGCTAGCCAGGGTCCACACAGATTTAATTCCGGGTTTGTGTGTTTGTGCCGTCGGCATGCCTGGCGCTATCCTGTACCTGTCCCGTACCATACCATCAAAGACAGCTGGCCACAATATTCAAATAGGGCTTTCAAATGCAAGATCATAACGTGAAGCAACTTGGAAGAATGAGTATGTATTTCTAGAGAAGATAACACTTCATTATAAAAATTATATTTGATATCGATACCCTGCATAAACGCGTGTATGTTTGTTTCGAGGGGGGAGGGAGAGGGTCCGGGGAGACATGAACAAATATCGTCTTTAAAAAATATCGAGTGAAGATTTAAAAAATATATCGATATTAATTTACTGACTAAAGGGGAAGAGGTAAGCCTAAAATCAAATTTTCACCAGTTGTAATCTTCGGGGTGCTGAGTCGAATGATCTTGGTCCGAGGAAGCTGAGACGCTCCGTTCCTCCTTTATTCCCAATCGAACTCGAGTACGTTCACCGAAACTAGGTGACTGCACCCTACTAGATGGGGATTTCTATGCGAAATGTCACTAACAGCGCAATTTCGTTCTTATAAAAGCACGGATGACCGCGATTGGCCCAAATGCTGTAGTCTTATGGACGCTGAGTCGACTGGTTTTGGTCCGAGAAAGCTGCGATGCAGCGTTCGGCCCGTATTCCCAATCGAACATAGTTGAATAAGCAGTATCTTGCTCATGCGTGCACAAGTCACCTGGTCGCCGTGCCTGCAGGTTACAACTTTCACACCAACGTTCAACTCCAGTTCAACTCGAGTGACCGGAACGCGCCCAAACAGGCTGTTAGTTGTGGAGTGTACATCTGCTGATGTCTGTTTTGGAACGAATCAAGCAAAACCAGGTATGCTGGTACTATACAAGAGTGGATAATGGATGTTGGTGCATGAGCACGGGCGTGATGCATGCAAGTTACGTTAGGGCAGTACTTCACACGCCGACCCATAACCACAGATGCATACTCTTGTTTTATATTATATTGGCTTTGGTAGCATGAATCGATCTCTCATCTTATGTTGTAAATTGAACATTCTCACAAACTTCAAATCCAAGTCAATTCTAACCTAAGGGGAACGTATTCGCTATAACAATTTGAAGGAAAAAACTATATGCCCAGGCCAATTATATTCATTTAGGATCGTCCCCACGCAATAAACACTTCATACTACCGCTGATGTCGCTAAATCTTAGTTTGTGCTGTTGTTCCTTGCGCAGGAATGTGACTTGAGGGTTGGACTGAGGTGACAGCGTTACGAATGGTTACAATTCTAGTGGCCCTCAGCATCTTCCATGTGCGACACTGACTAGCGTCGCCGCCTGGTGCTAGGCGTTTGTCGTGGTGAAAACGGAGCGGCACTGTAAGTTGTTATCACTAGTGATGTTTGGGCAGCTGGAACCCTATAACCAAGAGTAGATAAATAAGAGTGTGCAACTCCGCCTCTCTTCTGTAGAAAGTGCAGATACCCCGGCCCACGGCGGATTTTTTGTTAATGTCACCTTTTTCAGAAAACATGACGTGTGTCGTACAGAGCACCTGCATTTTTGTTGCAGAAAAGTGTGCGAGCACGCGCTGAGCGCCGACCTTGTAATATAAAGCCCGGCCAAGTGCACGAGGCCAAACTTCCCAAAAGACTCGCAGTGCGTGCGTCGTACGGTATGACTCAGGATTGCCAGAAAAGATTACGTCAACAAAAAGTTCTGCCATGGGCCAACCCATCCGGGAGTTGCACACTCTTGATTATCTACTCTGCTAATAACCCATAGATTTCATTTGCCTACTCAAGCTCAACTCATGGGGGATGAATTCCCCAGAAACACTGTGTATTATTGAGCAGGGAGTGGTGCTTTCTTGAAGGTTTACCGAGTGGAAGATTCAATGTTATTCCATTGTACTCCAGACAGCAGTCTTGAGTCAGTCAAGTGTCACAATCAGTCAGCAGAAAGAGTGAGCTACAACGTTCTGAGCAGCCACCTCCTTCACAAAGCACCTCCAGAATCCCAAAATCTTAATTCAAACTCCCATAAAATTTATAAATTGGCGGAGAGTACCTGCATCCAAAGGGCATCACTAACATGTCTGTCTCCAAAGAAAAGTATACGCAGTAGAAAATGTCATTTTGCTATCACATCACTACTGTATAAATTTCAATCGTGCTTGGTTAATTTATTTTGCCTTTTTTGCACATGTAACTTAGAGAAGGCAATAAAGTACTAGTGGAAGATTTTTGAGAATGATTATTGTGAGGAGCCCGTAGGTTGTCCTTTCCTTGACTTGGTAGTGGCACCTCAACTTTTTCCATCATCTTTTTTTAAATACAAAACTTCGAAGTACAACTGAGATAAACCGATACACCATCATCCAATTACCTTAGTTGGTGTCCCTGGTGGGAAATCTACCTGTATGGTAGACTCTGTCCAATTCCGACCATGGCCTTGGTCTCCACTAAAAGAATCAATAGTCCCGTTAGACCGGGTGCCAACATAGAGTCCTCCAGCATAGATCCCATGAAGGTTGTAATAGTATGTCATGCTACATCTAACAGATGATTGGCGTGATGTTGGGCAGAGCTGTGGAGTGGTTGCAGTGGTTGCAGTACCAGATGTCTGATTGTTCAATCGGCACAGTAGTTGTTGGAAAGCAAGAAACTGACCTGTACATCAAAATCAGAAAATTCATATAAAGTGTTTTTTTAATCAAAATGTCTTATAATTATATGCATGCTTCGATCTAAGTACGCTCAACCATCCATACAGAACACATCACTTCATCAGTTTGCACGGTGTGAAAACATAAGTGAACTATGGTCACACTTCGCATGTTTTTGTGTGGAGCTCGCTTCCGCTTGAAGGCAAATTGACTCAATTGAGTACGGATTGACTGCACAACGTGCAATGTGTGTAGAGTATTTTGAAGTACAATGTACATATTGTATGACCTACAGACAGGATACCATGTCCACAAAACGACCGCAAAAGGACAAGATGGTGGGGGCTCTCGCAGTATTTATGGTAAGTCTAATATTTCCTAAAGCTTCGGAGTATCGGCTGATATTCACCGCGTGTACAAACCTCGGACAGCCTCCCTTTGTAACATGACTGGTGAATATCAGCCCATACTCACTTCGACTTCAGGAGCAGTATTATGTACATACTTTTTTATTATTCTGTGAGAGCCAGCCCTTGGCTGGTGAGAAGGCACCATTGCATGTTCACTTGATGAAGTAAATTAAAAAGAATACCATTCCATTCCATACGAGTAGAGTGTGTTGTATGTGTGTTGTATTGCTGACACATCAGTCAAGAATCACTATAATAACATGCATACTCACCATCTTCTGTCATTGTAGTATGATCCACTGCTGGGCCACTGGGATTAGCTTGGTTAAAAATAACAGCAAGGTTTTCTTTTGCTGTAACGACTTTCAGGATTGAAGAATAACGGACGGGTGAGAGAGGGTCAGAGAAGGAGTAAGTTTCATTCAGACAACCTGTCACATAGAAACAACAGAATCCCATTTTTCCGTTATGCAGACATTAATAATCTGGATAAGAGCCTGCATACATGCATGCGCCCACTCACACCCAGCCTGCAAGGAAGCCGAATCATTTTAGTACGCCAAGCTGCAGGTCCCGACCACCCCAATGATCTCTTCATCACTGAGAGTACATGGCTTAGGCCACACTTTGTTTTTTCTATGTTTCTCGTCACCACGCGCGTAGGTTTTCAGAAATCTCGGAAGAAGAAAAATAGTTCATACTTGTACATGTATGTACCCTGTACATGCTGCAGCAGCTAGATGCGGCAATCAAAAATCGTAAGCTTTTGCACCACAGCAGCAAAGGAGTGCTCCCGTGCGTTCTCTGCGATGAATGCTGCCGCAACGAAGCTTTCAGTCTTTCTCTGCCTGAGCATCGCGGGTCCCAGGAATACCGCAAGTTGGACAAGTTTCGCGGCAACTGGCATCTAGTCGTGGAGATCTTATGCGAGCAGAAAATCTAAACAATGGACACATGGCGAGGAAAGGATGAGCGGCGTGGAGAAAAGAGCTTTACTAGTGTGATCAAAAGTATTACCGGTAATAACGCAGCGGACATAAGAACGTGGAAGTAACGAAATAGAAAAAAGCGTTTGTTGATGCGATAGCAGATACATCCATGTATGTTCTCTTCGCCATCTCGTCATCAAATTTTATACAATGTACATGTAAAATTTAAACTCGGATACTGAGCCAGGAATAAATGAAGAAAAAAAGAAGAAACACATGAGGACGAGTTATGCAGCAACTATGAACCTTCCAAGTTGGAAGGCTGTTGGTTTGCGCACTGGAGATGTGTTGGAGCTAGGTCTCGGGTCGCTGAATGTCTCAGTAGCTTGTCAGTTTTGTGCCCTATTATCGCACTTTCTGACCATTTATCATCTTGTTACAGTCGTGGATAGTTGCTGCATACTGTATAGCAGGAAATTTTCGGACGGAATTTATTTTCGTACGATTTCGTACACGGCCTCTTTTGTACTAAAATTAATTCCGTTCTAAAATTTGTCCCTAGCCCACTGTGAAGTTATGTACACTATACATGCGAACACGTGCATTTAGCATGCAGCACTGTACGAAAATATAATCCGTACGAAAGGTCGAAAATCGGCTTTGTCCGAAAATATTTCCGTCCGAAAATTTCCTGCTACACAGTAACTCGTTCTCATGTGTTTCTTCTCTTTTTTCAATGTACATGTACTCACATTATTGTTGCACTTTGCCTACTACATGTACATGTACTTCAAAGGATTCGTGGGCTGGTACAGGGTGTGATAATGTAGTGAAATCATGTGCTACCATGTATGGGACTCGTATACGCAGTGTCTTGTATGAATTACACATACGCAGTGTCTTGTATGAATTATGCATACGAAATGTATACAGTTTCAGTAGAAATTGTTCTTGCTTTTTCTTGGCTTTTGTTTTTTCCCGCCCGCCCGCATACCTTTTGTTAAAATTTGCCAACGAGAAACATAGAAAAAACTAAGTGTGGCCTTATGTACAAAATACAATAAACTTCAGAGACGTTTCAAGAGTCGGCGTGGAGAAAGCAATTTTATAAGTGCAATAAAGAATATAATAGATGCAGACATGGCCAAACAACAATAAAAATAGATACGCGCCGAATATTTGTAGACTTACAGTACAGCTTACTTCAGCCTGGTTCCATTGCTAACTTGTGTAGCAATAAACGTATAACTATACAAACGAATGTGAATATTTCACGACATCCGGATGCACATTGCGCACTATACTGTTTGTGGTATTTTGTTATTGCTATAGTCAACCCAGCAGACTGAAGACATTTTTCTAAAGGGAAGTTCACCCAAAAATGAAAACTTCACAACCTGTAGCGAAAAGTGCACTGATTCCTGTGGTGAAGGTCCCAGGTTGATCGGAGCAGCCGTTCCCGAGTTATACCAGTTTAGTAAATTTGGTGGTACAGGTGAAATCCTGATAATTCGAACCTCAAAATGCCAGGAAAACTTCTAATTATCCGGACATTCTAATTATCCAAACATGAACCCACAACTCAATATGTATGTCAAAATGCTCTCATGGTCACGCAGAGTTGCGCTATGGACCATAGACACAAACTTTACGGACACTGAACTGACCGGCACAGCCTGCTCATGCAAACTGAACTGACCAGTACAGTGTACAGTGAACTTCGAATTACACTTTGCTAACTTCGAATTATCAGCACAAATCCCACACATTTTCGATGTAAGTGGAATCTGTGGGACTTCTAATTAACCGAACATGTCCAGTTCGAGGTTCGAATTATCAGAATTTTTTATGTGGGAATCGAATTGATAGAAATCGGTCCTGGAAAAACTTCTAATTAAGCGGTATGTTCGAATTAAGCCATATTCGAATTATCAGGATTACACCTGTATATTAATTTTTGTTCCACTGCAGTACTCACGGCTGTTAGCTGCACTTGGATCGCGGCAACTTAGTTTTCTGCACGTGAACCATGAAAAATCAATGCATGTTCATGCATGTTCATGCATAACCAGTCAGCTGGCCTGCTCGCCCACGCATTTGACAGGTAACAATTCCATCAAATTTGAGATATCGCTTCGTTCTAAGTCTCAAAACAGTTCTAAAGTCACCAAACCACGCTGGTAATCGATGGCTATTCAATGTTAACATCTTCAGGAAGACTTCAGCCGTTTCCTGAGAGTTTGGGCATCGTTGCCGTTATTTTTCACGGTGTTCTTCTTCCTCCTGTCTGGAGCTGCAATTGCATCCTGGAATTATTTGAAAGGTATTTCGTGCGGGCTTTGGGGGGTTCCAACAGGCATAAACTGACATCGCTATAGGATAACTGGTAACTTTCATCCTTCAAGGAGGTAGAGCAATGAGAATTTTTTTGTGGCGGTCGTCCAATTTTTGTGGCGGTCGTGGCTGTATTTGTGCACTTCCAAGGCTTTCATTCTGCCTGATACTACTCTCTACTGTATGGGAATCGTTGTTTAGGCACATGTAGCTGTCTTATTTGGTAGATCTGCTGTTTTCAATCACTTGGGACACTTTGTCTAGCCTATTTGTCTTTCGTTCGTGCCATCTATCAGTTTTGTGGGGTGCCTTGGCCTGTATTTGTGAAGTTCTCGAGTAAAGACCCTAATTCTTGACTGGAGTCACGATTTGAATTGTATTTGCTGGGCGAGCCCTCGTTCACGCAGTTGTCCTTATCGTAATAGTCAATATCTGCTTGCTGGACGGACTAGCGGCTAGAATAGGGATGACCAAATGGTCCAAGTGTGTACTAGTACACGATTATTGTTTCCATCATCGTGATGAGCGTTGTGGAATTGCAGTCGTCTGCCTTTGGCACTGAGGACATGAGGAGAGTTGATTGTTACTTCTGCTCAGCAATGAAGCGATCATCAGCTCTCTTTGTTCTAATTATTGACAGGACATACCGGCATCGCAATCAAGTAAAGATTAGGCAAACCTCGCCAACCTCCAAAGAGAGTCGGAAGATATTTTCTCCAAATGCAAAGACGATCTTTGTGAATTGCATTTGCGTGCATACATGAGCAAGTCACGGACCACGGCACATGCGCGGTTACCATGCCATCTCGAACCGACGCCATCTTTCTAAGTTGCCGCTTCTTGACAGCCGTGTACTGGGTTTGCATTTTTACCAGTTTTTGTATAGCATTTCCAATAATTGTGTTTTAACTATTGTGCAAAAGAGGCTCTAGTCACAAGCACGTGTTGTTGGGGCATAACTCCACTACACTACAGTACATGTAATAATTGTAAGTAGGCATCAGTACGAAGGCTGTCTCAGTGCAACACAAGTCATGACTCAAACTCAAATACAAGTCATGTACTTGCAACGACGCATACGGATTATAATTATGTCGTTCAAAGAACGATGTCACGCTTTTTCTTCAGGAGTCAGGTTGCTGGGAAACTCAGGCTACGCATGTTCACACGAGAAGCACTTGAAGAACTAGCACTTGCTCTCTAAATGACTAATGATTATCATTATGTGCCTTTACTTTCCTCGTCTGCACTGCTACTTCAGCGGCGGCTAAAAGTACTGTGGCACCGCCACTGTGCATCCACTAAGGCGTGCAGTGTAGCCGGCGATACCCACGCAAATCCTAAGCATCCATTAGTCCATAAAAGTATGCCGGCATAAACCATACGGGCGCATACCTGTTGATTGTCCGTCGGCGTCATGTAACGCCTGAACAACGACCAGGAGAAACAGCGCTACTCCAAGACGTCGGCGGGGAGCGGAAAACATGTTCACTAGCAACATACTCGAGTCCGGTAGCTGCGGGTGGGTTTCATCCTCGGGAAAAGCTCAGCGCCGCTCCGGCTTCCAATTTTCAGCAGAGAACGACTCGGCTAGAAGCACATTCAGGCTGTCGTCATTATGAAGAGCTTCAATGAGAGCATTGGCCTTCTAAATATATCGAGAGCAGTTTTTGTACCGGTGGATTGCCTGAGGAAATGTACCTCACCAAGCTCGACAGCTACAGAGGGTTTATCCCATACCGTGTACTGATCCCAAACCCTGGCTGGGTAGGCCGCGTAGATCTACATGGTGACGGTGACACTCCGTGTCCACTCTCTCCGGTTCTGCATCTGGCCAGCTGAGCTGAGCTAGCCAGTGGTCCGCGAATCAGTTAACGGAACATGTGTGCACGCGTGTGACAAACAGAGTCAGTGCACTTTGATTCATCTGTCATTCGGGGACGCGATGATCTACTGTATACTGGCGCACTGCATGCGTACAACAGACCTGATAACTGAAATGAAGTCTGAACTGAAGTAAAACTCATAGATCGACCCAGCTAAGCGGACTGCCTGGCTACATAACTACAACCACAAGCACAGGACAGGCGAATACGACAGTAGTAGAAGGTGTCATTCTCTGAGTCAAGGGCAAATCACTCGAACTAAAACATGATTATAAAATCGACTCCGCAAATGACCAGAGAAACCGGCCTTCAGCAGCAGGACGGACTCAGTCTTCCAGTTGCAAGAATGAACGCTGGCAAGTCGAGGTATGCTTGCCTGTTGTATTCCTTCCTCAATACAATCATCAGCCATGTACATGTACCTGCAACAGTAGCTAATTAAATGCTTGACACTGGATCCGTACGATCTCCAGCTGACAATCACTGGACTTCCAGTGCATACAATCCACACACACACACACACACACACACACACACACACACACACACACATTTTACATACACCTCTTCCCTCTCTCGCTTCGCTACTAGACTAGTACACTGTACCTTGTTATTGGGAAGAAACTCCCGTTTGGATTTGCGAAATAAAACAAAAAGTGACAATCTATCTATCAATCAAACCACGAAAGGATGAGAGAACAATCATCCCCGAAGCTGGCAGTTGCAGGTTTTAAAAGATTTCTGGCTAGTCCAGGCATCCGGTCTGGACTGGAAGCCGCAGAGCAAAGTCAAACTGGCAACAGACTTGCTAGTGAACACAGAATCCAAAACCATCAAATCTAATCATGTAGACCTCACATGTACATGATTGTACAGTAATGACATTGTAACGTTAGATCTACGTGATTTACCGGTAAATCTGAGTCGTTCACTCTGGGAGTCTGGGCGCTAAATGTCGCGCTTCCGAAGTGGAAACAAATTTGGCATAATCAGTACTCTATATAGCAGACTGAAACTCACTGAAAGTGAAAGACGATTCTCTTGATCGGGATTCGACAAATCGAACGCTGCCCATCTTAGGCTTTGGACTGGTATAAACCAGGGAGTAGTGAAAAGGGGCCTAAAGTTTTACGATTCCCTGGTATAGACCTCGCGCCAAGTTGCGGTGCCTGGCTAGAGATATCGCAGACCGGACAGAGGCTGAAATCATGACTTGAAACAAGAGTCCATAACCCCCCGGGGTTATGGACTCTTGCTTGAAATGATCACTATTTTAAATTTTCTACAATAATGTCTACAAGTCATGTACATGTACAAATACATTATTATTATTATGTGTACATGACATACATGTCCATACAGTGCTTGTTGCGTGTGTGACAGGGTACAACAGTCAATGACTCTGTACATGGTATGATGGTGTCAACGCGTGACTGCTTGTGTGTGTGTGTTTTCAGTGTTTTCTTCAGTTTAAATGACAGACTTCATACATGCAGAGGACGTAAAACATTCCTGAAATACTAAGTACTAGCCCAGAGCACGTCGAGTACCGGTACCTACATACATGTACATACATGTATACGTGGCTGGTACATATGTACATGCAAACAGTCACTGATTCTCGTTTCTTTATTCGCAATCTGTAGAGAAGTGTAGGTCTACTAAGCTACACACTGCATGCTAGTAGTAGTAGTAATCACGGTAATAGTGGTAACTGTTCATCTCTTATCTATGCTTTGGCTGAGCGCAGACACGCTTTCAATGATTGTGCTCTTTGTAGCAGCACTTGACAGCACTGAGCGGGACAACCACCACCCAGTAATCATGCTCGCTGATAATTTTCAAACTGTTTCAAGTTACCCCAAGCCAGGCCAGCGCATGCTGCTAAGTATTGCTGTCTTTATACTAGTCGACATAACAACAACGGATCTGGCATGTATTTGGAAACTTGCCCCGGTTTCAGATGACCATATTAGTGGCGACATCTGCCCTCTTGAGGTTCTAGTAGTGTAGTACATCATTGTAGCGCACCCGCCCTTAGTTTAGCCTAAACTTTAGGCGCTAGGCGTTGCCGGAACGGCCGTCTGCTGATGGCCGCAATCCAGGACGGAATCCGCGCAGTCTGCATGGTCTGTGCCACAATCTTTAATAGGTCGAGCTTAAACCTTATCTGGAAATAATCACCCTGGTCACAGGCGCTGCCGACTGCTGGTTCCTAAATCGGTGTCAGGACTCAGACTCACGAGCTTCAGTGACAGGATCGGTGGATTGTTGTGGAAAAGTCTTCTGCAAGTAGTTAGTTCTGGGACCATATCGGTAGAGCCCTTTTTAGTTCAGGAGCACGCTGCTCGTGCTGGCCGCAAACCTGATGATTGACACCCAGGAGCAGAGAGCAGATGGATCCACATTCTTCCCTGTTGCAGAGCTGACTTCAGGGTATGTCATCAGATGACAGCATACCGGTGCTCAAGTACTTCTAACAATTATACATGTGTACAGTCATGTATTTCGAAGTACAATAACATGGAACATATTCTACATTGTACATGTACAATCATGTACATGACTTTGTACTAGGTAGTGGAAAAAGGTAGGTTTTCGTCGCCCTGGCCTAGGCCTAGGCACTGTACTGACTGACACTGGATGAATCGGCCTGCCACTCGGTGTCGACTCCTAGGATCCTGTATGGCCATTTTTATTATACTTTTTAATGCAACAGATGTCTATGGGTCACTGTATGGTACAGGTCGGATCAGAGGCAGGGTATTATTTATTTTACTATCGTGTTTGGCTCAGACTAGAGTACTTTTTGACTACCGCTGCAGTGATCGTGAGGGCTTTCAAAGCATACAATGTACTTGTAATTGTAAATGCACTACCAGTGCAGTGTGTTCGGTAGGTGGTCCGAGGGCGTTGTGCTGTATTGTGCGTGTTACAGAATGCACTGCCAGTGTGTTCGGTTGGTGGTCCGAGGGCGTTGTGCTGTATTGTGCGTGTTACAGAAGCCGGCCCGGAACTCGGAAGTGGATGAAAAGAAAGTTAAACCCTGGTCCTGAAGCAGACTACTGACTAGTACTAGTACTACTAGTACCCCTTCACAACTCATACTAGTACTCGACTCATGTGTAACGTTATGAATGCACTCAATGACTCATTAGTCATTAATGCATTGTGCTAACAGTTAGCACTATAGTTGTGATGAGCATGATGCATGATTGTAGTGATACACATAATAAATTATTATCATTATAATAAATAATAATACATCGCGCGTAATAAGACACATCAATGAAAATTGTATGCCTGTTCCGCTTCTGTCTCGCATTGAGTACCGCGGTAAATAGGGTATGTGTTACTGAAATAGTTCTTTTCATTTGATCTTATGCCATTGTATATTCACCTGTGACCTAGCCAGTACATGTAATACTGTATCATGAATACAGGTACTATGAAGAACTCCGCTCCCTTACTCTGTTGTAGTTATAAAACTACACCTCGGCCGCTTCCTGGTCATTTCAGCGGCGCAATGCCGGTAGGAGACCATTTTAAAAGGAGTCCTGTTCCCTCCAAGACTCCACATGCAACCTTCTACATTGTACTTCTTAGTAGTCCATGTGGCTGCATGCATGTATCACAAATTCAATGCATCTGTAAAAATGGCCGTCAACACACGCAAAGTAATGATGATGGAGAGAGGAGTTGGATGTGGCAGAACTGTTGCAGCTTCAAGTTCAGCATATTATGTGTTGACCGCCATTTTGCAGATTTAAAATTACACTGCACTGGGCGCATGAAGCCATGTGAAACAGGTGTCGCCAAGAGTAAAATACATTGTAAGCTCCCTGTCACACGAGTCCCGTGTCACTTCATTTTTTTACAAAGCGGTAGGTCTACATTCCTGAATCCCATACTTCTGCACCTGTATATTAAATTTTGTATTATTAGCATTTTAGGCACCGCAGTGCAGTTACACCAAGCCAATGGTAATGCTGCATGCCAACGCAGTGAGCGGAGTTATATCTACAAATGTATATCTAGACTTCTCTGGTAAGTATCGCCATCCGTATCCACACGACGTCATCGACTGGACACAAACACCGACAACGCACATGTCAATCAGGAAGGGCGACATCCAGCAGAAATCGCCAATGCCAAACCTCAACTGCCCCAAGTATTCAGCGATGTATCCTGGCTGGCGTGACAACTTGTCTTTACAATTGAGTAGTGGCGCGACCGTGGTCGATTGCTACCCGTATACCAACAGTTACTGGTGTCAGTTTGCATGGGATACTACAGTTGTTTTCTCACCGGGGATTTAAATTGGAATATTGCCATTCACAACGGTTTCATCGGCAAGCAGAGCTGTCACCAAGGTTTACAAACGGGTGCAGTTGCAGCACCCTGTCATCATCATGGCTGATAACAACTGACATAGTGACAAGTCCGCCCACCACACCTCAATGTGACCTCATCCTCCTGCTGATACTAACACTTTCCTGTTGAGATCAGTGTTGATACACAAGTCAACAGTAGCTACAGCACTAGTTGTTATGTGGAGCTGGTGTGGGGTCTGCGTGAAGATCGCCTAGGGAGAAGCCTGGATTGCACAGCGACTGGCCACAAACACCAAGTTTTTTTCCCGTATGATTACTACAGTCTACAGGGTAAATAGGCCTAATCTCCTTGTTAGGTCTCATCAGCCATGATCAGGGAACGGCTCAGAGTCAGTGGCCAAACACATCACAATGAGGTCCAGTCAACAATAACTAAGCATTTTTTAACTCAACCGGCTCGAAGAATCAACTAGAAGTCAGAGTGTTCTAAACTGCGCGGATTGAAACACAGGGAGATCGCCAATGCACGTGTACA